AAAAAATTAAGTCAATAGGCATTTTTAAATGTCCATGCTTATTTAAGTATTTTATGAGGCAGTCGAGTGCTGGCTACTTCAACTTACTACTTAACTTATTTAAAAATAAATAATAATATGCAAACGTAATGATACTAATGATACCATCTTAAAGACTTAACAAAAAACGTTTACAAGGTGAAACATATTTTCCTATGGGATAGACCGGTAAACGACCAGACTGATCAACAATCGGCGTCGCCCACGGGGACACACGGAAAACCAGAGGTATTACAAGTGCGTTACCTGCCTTATAGGGATTAGGAATTTGAGGATTGTTGGGGATTCAGGTATTGGGGAGATAAGGAAGGAGGGAGGGTAATTGGGCCTACGGTAATCTCACTCACACGACGAAACACAACGCAAGCGTTGCTTCATGTCGGTTTTCTGTGAGGCCGTGGTATCACTCCGGTCAAGCCGGCCCATTCGTGCCGAAGCATGGCTTTCTCACAATTATAGTTTTACTTATGAATATTGAAGAGTTTTGTGTAGTTGGAACTACTTTTTTCATTAGATAATCAATTTATTAAGAAAACCCAAAATATCATGCCTATAGCACCAAAGCAGCTGTTGGAACCGCGTGGAAGTAATTGCTAAAAGGTCTTATAGCATAACAAAACATCACGCCTTTTATCCCCGAAGGGGTAGACAGAGGTGAACATTATGCCACTGTACAATGTAACATACACTTTTCACTATTTATGTTATGAGTCCCATGTAATAGGGAGTGAGTCTATTGCCATAATACCATATATATACCACAATTTCAGACTCTTTTTATTTAGAGTTTTTTTTTTAATCCCAGTAATACTTTGCCCGTCCCAGAAATCAAACCCAAGTCCCTTTGCCCGGCAGTCGCACTTGCGGCCACTAGGCCAACGAGACAGTCTTATAGATATCGAGATAAGTCAACGGACCGGATCCTGCTAATCCAAAACCAAAAATAAACAAATAAAATACAGAGTCCGGTACAAGAGGAGCAAATAAACAGGTAGTTGCGCAGGCGCACCGTAATTACGGATCGATGCCGCAACGACGCACCATTAGCACCGGTCATTACCAAGGGATATAGGGATGGGACATACGTACAATTATTATTTATATTTATGCGATTATATTTTATATCTATATCATAATATGGATGCCATTCTATGTTTTAAATGTACGCCTGTGTGTGTTAAAATAGATTTATGCCGGAATACTGAAACGTTACTCAATTTTAAGTCGTGCTTAAATATCGTGCCATCTCTGTCATTTTACTAAGAATTTGCAGTGACAGAACTATACTTAAGCGCGACTTAAAATTGAGTAACGTTTCAGTGTTCGTGCATTAGAGGTTCAGAATGTCTGAACTAAAGTAGAGCCGAATTTTTAAAACAATGTTTCAGTTCAAACAGTTATTAGATTTATTAAAAGAAACCACTTTCATTTTAATAGTTTTTCGCACAGTCACCTTTGACTCATTGTAATATTTTTATATAGAATTCTTTTTTATAAGTATTTAGGAATAGTTAATTGAGTAGAATATTAGGTAATATTAATTATATTTCACGCCCGCTTCTCATACATGAGCACCCTCAGGGTTTGAAACCTACCAATGGCAAGTACCAATGTGACTTTTTCCGAGTTATATGTACTTTCTAAGATTATTTAGAAACCGCTGACAAACGGTGAAGGGAAAGATCATGAGGAAACCTGGGTTTATAATTTAGAACTATAAGTTTGAATTCGCCAACCCGTATTGAGCAAGCGTGGTGATTAATGCTCAAACCTTCTTCGTGTGAGAAGAGGCTTTGCTCAGCAGTGGGCATTTAGGGGCTGTTGATGATGATGAATTTCATACTAAATAAATAATAATTCGCTTACAAAACCAAAAATACAAACTGCACGAATCTACTCAGTGTTAACAACGACCAGTCAAATCTTACTTATAGACGAACTAACCTAAGGTATTTCGTTTTGTAATTAAACTTGAACTGCACTTTGACATAACATAACATCACGCTTTTTGTCCCCGAAGGGGTAGGCTGAGATGCATATTACGACATATAATGGCACTGTACAATGTAACACCCAGTTTTCACTATTTATGTTATAAGTCCCATGTGATAGGGGGTGAGCCTATTGCCATATACCGGGCACAATTCCAAACTCCGTAATACTACTGAGATTAAAAAAAAAACCAGTAATATTCTGCCCGACCCGAGACCGCTTGCCCAGCAGTCGCACTTTACGACCATACGGCCAACGAAGCCATTTGAGTAGAATATTAGGTCTCCTTAATTTCATACTTATTTAAAACTAACTATGATTTGCTTACAAAAACAAAAACTACATGAATCTACTCAGTATTAACATGGGCCAGTCAAGTCTTACTTATAGACGAACTAACCAGTTTCGTTTTGTAATTAAACTTGAACTGCACTTAAAGTATTTAGTTTTTATTGTTCCCACGGAGTAACATAACTTGTATCATAAGAGTATTTACAACATGTTTCGTTTTTATTCCGAATAGTTTCTGAAGGTCGAGTAGCCGTAACTTGGTCGTCTCAGACTTTGGGTCTAAAACCGTCTCTTGTTCGAAAATTATACATTGAATTACAAGTACCGTGAGATAATTATTTTAAACAAACTGTTCTGGCTAACTTAGTACTGTCTAAAATTTTTTTTTCACCTTCTTCCGCGAACATTTCACGACCGAAATTTGTCAAACTCTCGAGTTTTACCGCGGCTAACAAACGGAAATTCATTTTCATTATACAGATGCATTAGGTTGTATGGCTTCTGCTCATAAATTGTCCATTTTAGGTTGCCGCGCATGATGCTTATTGTTATGGGCCCCTGGCGTGGCTTGAAACTGGTCGAGTAACCTCATGAAACAGAGACGTGGGTTAGTCGATCATTTTTTAGATTTTATCCTTACTAATATTATAAATCGGAAAGTGAGTTTGTTTGTTCCTTTCACGCCGTAACTAATAAACCGATTGCTTTGAATTTTTGCAGACGTAAAGTTAGAAGTCTAAATTAAATAATAGGGTACTTTTTATTTAGGGTATTTATGAGGTAAAATGAAATCATTGGTATAGATGGCGCTGTGTGTACGTGTCACATAGGCTACTTTTTATCCTTTTGTGACGCGAGCGAAGTCGCGGGTAAAAGCTAGTATCTTAATAATAGCATGGAATCTGTGATTGTACCCAGTGTATAACACTAGGCTTATGCCTATTATACATGACTGTAGAGTAGAAAAAAGTGGATTTGACATTGTATAATACGTGCCTACTGCTTCGGGAATTTGGGCTGTATTGCACTGGGACACCATGGCGACTGCACCAGTCGCCGCTACCAACAATCTGTATACAGCACTAGAGCGAGTTACTCGCTGGTGTCCACTTGGTTGCGCCACCAATATGACGGCACGCCATGTTCGGACGCCAGCACAGAATGTTAGTGCTTGCTCATGCACGTTGGTCGGGCCACCACTAATTACTATAGTATTATTGGACACTGTACGATGTCTTACTCATTCAGCAGTCAGTTCGGCCGCCGGCGTGGCGTAACTAGTATTGCCGCCATGGTGTCCCGGTGTAATATACACCTTATATATAATGTGTAGTCATACATTATATATTAAAAATGAAATTAGTAATATTAATACTTTCACCATTCTGATCTCCTCCGTTTGTGACCTTAACCTTCCAATGACCGTTTAATTAAAACGAGTTATTACAATAATTATAATATATGCATATTTATGCAGAAATCTAGCTAAAAACTAGTTACGTAGGTACAATATATACCTAGACGTAACAGGAAAATGGAACAATTAATAATTACTTACGTATATAGGGAAATATAACGGTTTCTTTTGATTGAGTTGCATAAAACAAATGTTAGTATAATTTTCCGTATACATATATTTTTATATCCAGTATGCATCTCTGCTTACACCTGACCTCTTTGGAGTTTGTCTGTTTTGTGCCCTTTTTCTATAAGTGGCATGAAATATGATGTCTAATATGTCGTATTCAGAGCACAAAAATTACAAACATCGCAACCTTTATATGACTTTTTTTTTTTAAACGTTGCCCCACATTAGGATTTTGTCCTGTGTCGTGGGTGCGATTACAAACATACGAGTTCACATACACAATGACACCCAGACCCGAAACAACAACATCGACGTGCAGTCAATTTTTGAAAATCGGTACTCGGAGACACTTAATGATTACTTAAACTATTCCTTAATAACATCTATAATCGAATATCTGTCACCTGGGTTAAGTTTTTTTATGGAATAGGCGGTAAACGATCAGACGGATCGCGATCAGCGCCACCCATGGGGGTGCTCAACACCAGAGGAGTTACAGGTCAAGTTACAATTAGACTCTGAGTACAAGAGATCGGGAACCGAGCTTTAGATCCCTTGTTTAACAGTGGCACCTACAACCACTAATTTTAACGACCAATTTACACAAACAAATCAGTTATTTATGAATTAAAAAAAAAACAATTCAAAAGTTAACAATTCTCATCACTATAATATGACGTCCTTATAGTAACTCCAACAAGTTGCACACATAAAACCTGTCGCCATTACCGTACACACACATCGATATACTACCTGTATACATACACTCAACACATACATACGCAAAACAAAATGATACAGTTGTGTCCAGACTCTCAAGAAGGCCAGACTATTATAATTTGTGATAGAATTTATTATTAATATAAATTAAATTTATTATTAATTTAAAGTTTTAAAGTTATTTTATGGCAATATAATAGTAATAATTATTAACCGTCTGCAGCTGACGTGTAGTCCCACAGACACCGCGAAATACAAAATCACGTGTTATACCGTAATTTTTCAATACGAGCATCACTGCTGCGAGTACCTTACTGTATAGTGCTCGCTATACTTTAATTCTACAAAAATATTTGCTGTTGAAATGGTGTCTGGTATAATACACATCTCAGTTGAATTGTAACAATTTAACCACGTCAGTTGCAGAGGGTTAATAGTAGTGAAAGGATTTACGGAAGTGATTATTTTAATAGTGTGAGTGCTGCCACTGAGGTCAGATACATAAAGGTATTGACTTGTTTTTTGTTATTATTCGGTTCGCATATTACATATTAAGTGAAACCAAATAATTATAATTACTGTTGTATCTATACTAATATTATAAAGAGGAAAGATTTGTACCTATTTTTGTATGTTTGTATATTTGTAATGAATAGGCTCAAAAAGTACTGGGCCGATTTAAAAAATTAAATTGATTTCCCCAATAGAATGCTACATTCTTCCAATTTGACATAGGCTACATAACATTTTGAAAAAAAAAATGTCTACTCCGTGCGAAGCCGGGACGGGCTGCTAGTTCTGTATACATTTCTACTAGGTATATTATCGCAACTAAAATTATAAATGCGAAAGTAAGTTTATTTATTCCTCCTCTATTTCTTTAAGGTTCATCTACTAAATCAATCTTCTTGAAAATTGGTAAGGAGCATGGAAAAGGACATAGGATATCTTTTGATGTTGGGTTTAAAGATACAGATAAAAGCTAGTACGAAACAATTTGAAATATAGTTTCTTTCTTACTGTTTCTTTTTTTTATGGCATAAGCCGGTAAACGAGCTGACGGATCATCCTGATGGTAAGCAATCGGCGTCGCCCATGGATACTCGGAACACCAGAGGCGTTACAACTGCGTTACCGACCTTTTGGGGAATTAGGAGCTTAAGAATCGTTGGGTATTCAGGAATTGGGGAGATTGGGGAAGGGGAGAGTAATTGGGCCTCCGGTAACCTCACTCACACGACGAAACATAACGCAAGCGTTGCTTCACGTCGGTTTTCTGTGAGGCCGTGGTATCACTCCAGTCGAGTCAGCCCATTCATGCCGAAGCATGGCTCTCCCACACTAAATATTCTTTTGACGTATTCGTTTCACGATAATATTCTTTTAACACACAAGGTTTTCTTGTAATTGCTAAAATTAAACAAGCAAAGCACTGATATGATTCTGATGATTGTTGTTACAAGGACACAACGCACAACCAATAATAAATAAACAGTTGAACAGTCTTACATGAATTTATGATGATAGACTTTACCTGGCCTAAGTACTGTTGCTCAAAGTATTATTACTATTAGTCAAAGCATTAATTTCAATTAAATCATAATTTGGTACTTTTGAAACGTAAACAAATACATAATAAATAATAGTCTGTTAGTCAGTCCGTCAGTGAAGCTAGGTGAAGCTAGGCGCTCATTCCAAAATGTAGATTCGACTGGAAAAGAACGAGCAAGACACTCTAATCGTTACTCTTTTTAAAAAAGTATGTTCTACAATGTCTCTGCATTCTCACCATATTCCAATACTGTACGTATATGCAAGAACAATGCAAAGATACGCTTGACGCGTTATACTAATAACAAAACTTATTAAAAAAAAAACAAAGCAAAAAACAATCTTATAGTCAATCTTATATGCATACCGGCAATCCATAAAAATAGTGCAGAAGCACTATTTCAAACAAAGAAAGAAATACTCGATGCCATAAGGAAACTATACTCGGAATTTTAATTCGATTCCAGATTTGACAATTTCAGTGTTGCAACGTTGTGACAAGTACTAAATAGTGACGTTGCGAAATTATTCGATATGGAAATGAAATATTTCTGGATCGATTCTTCTCGTTTATAAGGTCACTCCCGTAAACTAAGTATATCAGGAAATTAAATATTTATGAACCGATATTTTAGTTTTGACGATTAATTAACGATCTAAGACCTTTCTTTTATAATTGTGTGTGAAATAAATATAAATGGTATCATTATTTCACAAAATGACAGTAGCTATTGTCAAATCTGGAATCTAATTAAAATTCTGACTATAGATTGTCTACATTAGAATGAAAGTATTAAATTACCTACTTTTGGAATCTAACTACTGACTACATTTGAGTATTATCCAGTGGAGCCGAACCATATGCTATAAATAGACCTATAAAGAAGGGTCAAGAAACTCCTTCTTATTATATCCCATGCACCCTGCCCATAGGATAATAAACCCATGAAGCAGGCTGCAGCAACCAGTTTGCGATCCAACCCTGTATTACCTGTTTTAGAATTTATATTAAAATACAAGAACAAACAAGTCTCATGTCGTGGTGGCCCGGAGGTTTAAGACGCCCGCTTCTCATGCATGAGGATGCGGGTTCGAAACCTACCAACGGCAAGTACCAATGTGACTTTTTCCGAGTTATATGTACTTTCTAACATTATTTAGACACCACTGACAAACGGTGAAGGAAAACATCGTGAGGAAACCTGGACTTATAATTTCTAATTATAAATTTGTAATCGCCAACCCGCATTGAGCAAGCGTGGTGATTAATGCTTAAACCTTCTCCATGTGAGAAGCTCGCTTGTAGCAGCTTGCTCAGCAGTACATTTACATTTATTACATTTATAGGTTGTTTATGAAACAAGTCCTATTGGTTTTTTCAAAATTATATTTATGGCAATAGATTCAGTATTTTATAACATGGTTTAAGGTCTGTGTTATAACATAACTGGTTTAAAGTCTGTGTTATATTAAACTGTCAAACACCAAGCGGTCACCGGTGACCGCAACCTATTGTTCTATAATTGTGTCTACAAAACCGGTTCTCGACGAGTTAAACGCCTATTTCACTCTCTATACCTCTCTAGCCATTATGTACCTGAATGACTTAAGAATATAATTGGGTACTTTCCTTAGTCAAAAATAAACTATTTCGACTGTTCACACTTTCATTAATTGATTTTATGACCAACTTAAGTTTTAGTATAATTCCAGCAATTTTTTAAGAAATAAGTATGCTGTTAGACTCTATAAAAAACGTGACGTCACAATACACAATCTCGTACAAGATTCAAAAAGAACTGTCGTTTTCGACAGTTCGAAAAAAGTATTGAATTTGACTAGTTGGCTAGTAGACAATTTCTACGAACTATCCTACTAATATAATAAATGCGGAAGTTTGTATATTTATTACTCCTTCACGTGAACACGGCTGAAGGGATCGGCTTGAAATTTGGAACAGGGGCAGATTATAGTCTAGAATATAAGCTACTTTTTATCCCATGACAACGCGAGCGAAGCCGCTGGTGAAAGCTAGTCTGCCATATGAGTTTATCGCATACTTATACAAGGCGTTGTTTTAAAGCCGCGTCATTTTCTAGGAAGTAACTCGGATATCGATTCTGAGTCCAAATCAATAAAAAATTGTAGGTAAATATTTTTCATTTTTCTGAAATTATGGAAATCCGTAAGTGTACACGAAGTACACGCCGCCGTCTTGTAACTAGCTTTATAAGCTTTATACCGCGGCTTAACACACACAAACTCAAACACGTAATTGATATTATTCCTAATTCCACAAAACTCCAATAAGAAACCTTGCTGTCGCGTATTCTGAAATGCTGTCGAACTCAAACGATTTATTATAGCCGTATTTTTAACTATTGGCCCAAAATTTTCTCTTACATTGAACCTTTATGACTTCTGTGACATGCCCCCGAGAAATGACACAGTTTCAAAACTACACCTTGTATACGTGTGATGAAACAGACGCGTAGGTACCTATATCACCTTTTTTCACTTAGATAAATAAAAAGTATGATATTATAGACAACTTTAACCGGTAATATAATATTTCTTTGCCTTTTAAACATATTTATTTTTCCTCATATCTAATGGAGACAAGAAATGCAGGCACTAACAGGTAATATTATTACTGATTAGGTTTAACGACGACTGTACATTATTGGAGTCATCATTATAATATATATCCAATATATATATATATATATATATATATATATGAGTATTATATATTTGTATACCTGCACTGTAGATGCAAACGACCATTAATTACAATTTTATGACAGTTTAAAACCCCTCGAGGAGGAAAACGGAGCTCCATACCTAATCCTTAATTTTTTGTCTAAATTAATATCCTCCTTTGACTGCGTCGTTGGCCGAGTGGTCGCAAGTGCGACTGCCGGGCAAGGAGTCTCGGGTTCAATTCCCGAGTAGGGCAAAGTATTACTGGGTTTTAAAAAAAATCTCAGTAGTAGCACGGAGTCTGGAATTGTGAACGGTATATGGCAATAGGCTCACCCCCTATTACATGGGACTCATAACGTAAATAGTGAAAAGTGGGTGTTACATTGTACAGGAGCATAATGTGCACCTCTGCCTACACCTTCGGGGATAAAAGGCGTGATGTTATGTTATGTTAATATCCTCCATGTCGTTGTAAAGTGTCGTGGTAGCTCCGAGGTTTAAGACGCTATGAGGGCGCGGTTTCGAACAGCAAGTACCAATGTAACTTTTTCCGAGTTATATGTTCACTTGATTCACAAATAGAACAGCAGTATTCTCAAATAAACATAACAAGGGTAGAAAATGGCAAACACAGAAGGGTTACCGATATTCCTGAGGGATTTTAAGCCTTCTTTACAGTACAATAACTAGTGACGTACGTTTTTAAATGAAGTAAACACAAATTGCACTTGTGTTCACACCCAAAATTATAATAATACTAGCTGTTACCCGCGACTTCGTTCGCGTGAAATTATTCATATTTCTTGTTAATATATACTTTTTTGACGCGTTGATTGGCGAGGCGTATTTGAGAGCTAGTATGAAACGGAACGTTTATTGTCTACTCAAGATGGCGACTGCGGATTGTCTGTCAGTGTCATTAAAATAAAATAGTGAAACGAAATAATCTCCGTAATCCGAATTTTGCGGATATATATTATGTTGTCGACTCGAAATCGATATTTTTTTATGTTTTGTTGTTCAGGTATTGTTTCGATCGAGTCTACCGTACCCCTTGACGAAATTATTAATATAGATACTCTCTTAAAAATACACGAAGAAAGCTGCAAAAGATAGAATAGAAAGACATCAATATACCTCTTTTAAAACCAATGGACGCCATTTATTTCAATGAGCAGTTCCCAGATAATCTACAATTAAGTGACTGCAACTACACGATGTCCTATTAGCTACTCTGTGGTAATTGTTCTAGTTAGTCTATGTCTCTGGCCATTATTCCACGAATAGTGTAGAAATGTGTGTTTAGGTGGGAATTTTACTTCTGGACCTTTATTAAGTAGTAAGGTCACCCTATTACGTGGTGGAGATTCATTATAGATGCTATTAAAGGGAAAAAATAGTCACATTTTTTGAGATCAAAAGCTCCATTATAATAATCGTCTCATAATATCAAATCTTGCTTTGCCTGACTCAAAAAACTAAACTGAGTGTTTATTCGACGACAGCAGCCAAGGAGCCAATCATCTTTAGGTTTCCACCCGATGTTTTCCTTCATCGTATGAAATGGTGTCCGAATAAATTAGGAAAGAAGTACTAGCTAGAGTTAAAACTGTCATGCTAGAGCAATGAGCGAATTAAGCTTATATTGTGATACCCCATCACAATATCAGGTATTTATTAATATAGATAAAAATGAATTGCCATTCGTTAGTCAAGAGTGTAAATTATTTATTTTAATTAGACCAGGCACTTTTGAACGTCAACCAAAAAAAGTGAAACTATTTACTCATTCCGAGGTATAGATTCCTATGGAAAAGAACGAGGAAGAAACTCCATAGGTTACTCTTTTCAATCAGGTTCACAATACAATTATCTAGTATTATAGTTTGTTTGATTGTGCGAGATCAATGTAACACCAAAATCCAGTTAAAGAGAATTAAAAAGAAAATAACCTAGTAATAAGTCTCGGTAAAACTCAAAATCGGATAGACCGATTTGGCTAATTTGTGTTTTATTTAGTTATTTATGGATATCCAGAGAAGGTTAAACTAAAGACTTAGACTACACGGTTGGCGCGGTGGTTGGGCAAATAACTGCCGCGCAACGTGTCGCGGGTTCGATTCCCGCACGGAACAATTCTTTGTGTGATACACAGATTGTTGTTTCGGGTCTGGGTGTCATGTCTATGTGAACTTGTATGTTTGTAAACGCACCCACGATACAGGAGAAAATCCTAGTGTGGGGCAACGTTTTTATTAAAAAAAAAAGATAGGATTTTTTGAGGCGGTACGAAATTAACCCGGTATTAAATAATACTGAGAAGCTATATCTATTCAAATAGGCCTGGATTTCGAGCTATAATACATCATTCAAGCAATGTCCACTATAGTAACCACAGTTGTGTTCCAGTCGGCCATTCACCTGTCCTCGCTCACAGTGGGCAGTCAAAGCAGAGATCGACATTACGCATCACTGCAGATGTAGCTTTACAACTAGGGATGTGAGTGTCGATTCAATGGTTCATTTGTCGATTCACGTAGTCGGTTATGATTGGTGAAATTAGGAATGAGCACCTAGCTTCACCTAGTTTCACGGACGGACTGACTGACAGACTATTATTTATTTTGTATTTGTTGACGTTTCAGAAGTACCAAACTATGGTTTAATTGAAATAAATGCTTTGACTTTGACTTTGAATTTAGGTAGTTGCAAAATCCGTGCTAAAACAGTAAAGGGTTGAAGGATAATTGGTTTTATATTGGGCTTTTCCTAGTGATAATAAAATAGTGGCGTCGTGATGGCCCGGACGTTGAAGACGCCTGTTTAATGCTTCTCATGCACGAGGGTGCGGGTTCGAAACCTACCAACAGCAAGTACCAATGTGACTTTTTCCGAGTTATATGTACTTTCTAAAATTATTTAGACACCACTGACAAACGGTGAAGGAAAACATCGTGAGGAAACCTGGGCTAATAGGTAATTTCTAATTATAAGTTTGTAATCGCCAACTCGCATTGAGCAAGCGTGGTGATTAATGCTTAAATCTGCAGTGCGCACTTATAGGCTGTGTATGAAACCAGTCTCATTGGTTTTTTGAAAATTGTCATCAATAATTTATGGCGATAGATTCACTATTTTATAACATAGGAGTCAAAAGATAACTGGGTTAAAGTCTGTGTTATTAAAGACCTATTTTAAAGTCTGGATAGCCATTATGTACCCGTTGTGATTAATGCTCTAACCTTTTCCCTTTCAGAAGAGATGTGTCGATGATGATGAAAACTAAGAATATATCCTTCTGATATTCGACCAACAGCGTATGTGTCGAAAAAATTGGAATATAACAATAAAAGAGTATCGATGGAGTTTCTTGCTCATTCATCTCCATTGAAACTACACTTTGGACCGAGCGCCTAGCTTTACTGACGACATAAAGATGAACCCACAATTAAATTTTTGACGTTTCAAAAGTGCCTAATTAAAGATTATTTAAATGAAATAAACGCTTTGACTTTGACCCAATAGAAGCTACCCTTAATGTAAAATGTCTGTTACTAATGTCTACATTAAAATATGCCTTTTGATAAACAAAATTCGATTTTCTTTAAAATAACATAACATAACATCACGCCTTTTATCCCCGAAGGGGTAGGCAAAGGTGCACATTATGCCGCTGTACAATGTATCACCCACTTTTCACGATTTATGTTATGAGTCCCATGTAATAGGGGGTGAGCCTATTGCCATATACCGGGCACAATTTCAGACTCCGTGATACTACTGAGATTTTTTTTAAAACCCAGTAATACTTTGCCCGACCCGGGAATCGAACCCGAGACCCCTTGCCTGGCAGTCGCACTTGCAACCACTCGGCCAACGAGGCAGTCTTATTTCTTTAAAATATATTGTGTAATACATTCCATCTTCGCATCTGCGGTTTACCATCACATCGCCATGGTAGACAGTGATACAGCCACTTCTCTGGGCACTGAGCCAAATACAGATTTGGCATGAATCACTCGCGCGATACCTAATAGGTGTTAGCTTTGCGCATAGACTACCTGTCTGTCCAACCATTGATTATTTGAACCTTAGTCACGATCACACAGCAGAAAATAGATAAATATCTGTAACTAGTTTCTGATAGCGGTACCGCTTGCATAACCGGGATAGAAAATGAAGTAGCCTAGGAGTTATAGAGAGAACATTTGCTAAGTATTACATAATAACATAAAATCACGCCTTTGGTCCCCGTAGGGAAGGCAGAGGTGTAGGTATATAATGCCATTATACAATGTAACACCCACTTTTCACTATTAATGTTATGAGTCCCATGTAATAGGGGGTGAGCCTATTTCCATATACCGGGCACAATTCCGGACCCCGTGTTACTACTGACATTTTTTTTAACCCGAGACTGCTTGCCCGGCAGTCGCACTTGCGACCACTCGGCCAACGAGGCAGTCGCTAGGTATATCAAGTCATTAATCAAGTTGTCACAGCAAAACTGATTGGACTAATAAATGAAACCTCACGTCACATGAAACGAGCTACCTCATTATTGCAAAATCATACAAGTAGCAAGCAGATCAACATTTACAATAAAATAGTCATTGTCAGTATTTTATTATATTTGGGATGATGACAGGGTAGGAAAATTAAAAATATAATTGGTCCGTAAGTTAGGTAATGAAAAATATTGGACACGTATTTTTTTATTTTGTCGTACCTGTAATAAAACTATACTTAGATAAAACGAATCAAAGTTTAGGAGTGGGGGCTAAAACGTTATTTCTACGTATAAAATGTACATAGAAGTGACGTCACGCGACATTTCAAATCAATGTATCGTCGAAAGACTTCGTTTCTGTAAGAAAATAAAAAACACGAGTCTACTGATTTAAAATAATCTACCAGATGGACATTAAAATTAAAATTAGGCATCTACCCTATTGAATAAAAGAGCGTATTCCTTTTTAAAAGGCCGGCGACGCACCTGTGACTCCTCTAGTGTTCCAAGTGTCCATGGGCGACGCTGATCGCTTACCATCAGGTGATCCGTCTGCTCGTTTGCCTTCTATTCCATAAAAAAAATAAGTTATTTATATTTTCAGGTGACACAAGAGAGTAAGAAAAAATGCACATAAAACCAATGTTAGCGGTGCCTGTTTGTCTAGTAGCTGTCTTCGTGTTCTGGATAACTGGATCCAGTGGTAAGAAAAAGTATTCTTAATAAAAATAGAAGCACGTTTAACTCGTCGAGTACCGGTTTTGTAGACACAATTATAGAACTATAGGTTGCGGTCACCGGTGACCGCTTGGTGTTTGACAGTTTAAGGACTGGCTTCAGAATACTGTTTACTTGTCTAATATATTGTAATGAAGATGATATGAAATTGCCTAACACGAGAAACAACACAATTTATTACAAGACTTGCACGAGTAGTTTAGTGGTTCGATTCCTGAGTGGACGAAACCACTTGTTCGTGTCATCCACAAATTGTTGTTCTTGCTCTGGAGATGATGTATATGTGAAATTATTGTTTATAAACGCACACTACGACATTGGAGAACACTTTACTGCCTTATCCCTGACCCCAGATATAGAAATTGGTCATTTTCATTCATTCTCGACCATTCGCCAATGACTTACTTGACTTAATATCCTGTATCCCCTAGATGGGACAAAGGGCGTCGCGGAGAACCTAACGGGTAACCGGGGCTCCGGCTCGACGTGCAGGAGAAGGAACGGGGTGGTTTTTAGTCAGTAAGAGTCTGACACTCCCTCCCGCCTCACCCAGGCGGGAGCAGTCATTCGATGATTTTCCCCCCTTAAAAAAA